CATACAGAAATTGAAATCCAACACTAAACTCTATAAAGTACAGTAAAAATCGATTTTTCTACACTTACCAAAATGTGAAACCCAGACAAATTTAGGATCTGGGTTACGAGGATCGTAAATAAATGTGCAGAATTGACCGTAGTACGGGATATTATGCGTGGGTTGGTACACCAAACTTCATAAAGATCCCTCACTTTAGGATTTTGGATATTCTTGGAATTCTCATTTGACTTGCTTTCTAAATTATTATCATTTTTTTCCGGTAATTAGCACCACATTTCATTGTTTTCCATACCTTTAATTTTTTTGCATTTTCATCATTATTTCCACCTTTCATTGCGTAAAAGGTCATTTTCATCCATTTTCTCAATTAAAAATTGTGAAATGACGAAAATATCATTTTCTTTAAATAAAACAAAAGGAAAAGGAAAAAAAACTAATTACAATCATAATCCTAATTTTTATGAAAAACGCAAATAAGTCACAAATAATTTATTAAAATGGTAATTAGTACATAATGTCATTATCTTTCATTATTATTACGAAAAACATCCCTACTTTTTTTCTTTACATTTTCACCATTAATTACACATTTGATTATGCAAAACATCATTTCCATCAATTTTTATCCAGTTTTTCAATAAAGAACTGTAAAATAATGAATATACTCTCATAATTAAATAAAAAAAATATACTTTTTAATTTCTAATTCTTTAATAATTTATTTGAGACTCGTTTTAATTTTTTTTAATTTTTAAATAAATTTAATTTAGACTCGTTTGCACTTTTTTTTAAAATTAAATTTTTTATTATAATTTATTGGAGACTTGTTTGCACTTTTTTTAAAAAAAATTGGAACTATGATTGAAATTATGTTTTAGCTTTTTATTTAAATATGATGATATATTCGTCATTTCACAGCTTTTTATTGAGAAATTGGATGTAAATTGATATAAATGATGGTTTACGCAATCAAATGTTTAAATAAGGGTGAACATGCAAAAAAATGAAATGTATAGACTTTTTCGCAATAACAATGAAAAATATGGACATTATGTACTAATTACCTTTTTAATAATTTATTTGTGACTTATTTGACTTTTTTTAAAAAAAAAATTGGACTATGATTACAATTATTTTTTTTTCTTTTTTTTT